ATGTACCTTTTCCATATCAATCAGGACTACCGAGAGAGGGCACCACGCGCTACTGATGGCCTTGGTCTTTCCTAGTGTTTGAGTTTCCTTCAAACCTGTTTCTTTAAGTTGGTGTGCAGGGACGGAGCCATGGGGGGGGGGGGGGTTGCAAAGCAAAGTTTCTAAAATATATCGAAAGTTGGGAAAACTTGGATAAAAAATTTTAAGTTGGGAAAAATTGGTAGACAAAAATTTCCGCACCTTATTTGCGAGGAATAATTAAAATTAACATTAGGATTGTGTCACGTGTCGTGATTCGTAATGAATTGCAAAATCACCGGACAACAGGATGACGAAATCCCAATGGTCGCGGCGATCTTTTGACGAAATCTTTTTTTTTTTTCTCACTTTATTTGAAATAATATCGTAAAATAAACTCCACATTCTCATTGCCACTTTTTCTCCACTACATGATGATGTTATTAGATTTTTGATCAGATGTTTCGTTTCTTCGCGATCATCATTAACTTTGTTTTTTCAAATGGTCGATTTTTTTAATTTTATGCCCAATAAACTCTACTTTTTATGCTAAATCCAACGACATATCAAGCTCATAATTCCAGGATTAATAATTTATACTAGTGATCCCATCAACGAGCCTCCGCGATCTCCAGTCATTACACCGATGGATTTTGTCTTTGGAGGATTTCTTAAGAATGAAGTTAACTGACTTTTCAGAATCCATCAGTGTAACCTCTGGAGATCGCGGAGGCCCGTTAATGGGACCTCTAGTGGAAATTAATATCCCTGGAATTATGAGCTTGATATGTCATTGGATTTAGAAGAAAAAGTAGAGTTTATTAGGCATAAAATAAAAAACTCGACCATTTGAAAAAACAAAGTTGATGATGATCGCGAAGAAACGAAACGTTTGATCAAAAATCTAATAACATTATCATGTAGTGGAGAAAAAGTAGCAATGATAATGTGAAGTTTATTGTGCGATATCATTTCAAATGAAGTCAGAACTGAGCTCAGTAATGCGCAACTCTTTCCAAATTTAACCAACCCTGTATCTCTTATGGTTGCCGAGATCAGACTGCATCCTTATCCGGGAGACCCTGTATACATGTCAAACTTTTAACAGTTTTTGAAGTGAAACTTCTTAGGCGGCGGTCTGATATTTAGACAAGAATATGGAGCGTGATTTGAAAAACGCATCACGTAACGTCACGTTTTGGCAAATTTCGTTACACGAGAAACGAGAGAGAAGGAATATATAGTAGACTGTAGAGAGACGGAGAAAGCGAGCAAATGACATTCACAATCACAGACGAGGAACGATTGACACAAATCAAGGTTTATGAGCAAAGAGGATTGCCTATCGTTGTCAAGCGCAGATACCCTTGTGACGTCACTATAGATGCGTGTCTCCCTTTTGTGTGGCCTTTCGTCTTTACCGCGACTCATACGCAAGTCTAAAAGCTGTATGAGGGAGGGTATAGTTTTTAAAAAGATTCACCTCCCAACACGTGCACAAATGCTACACATGATTTTTCTTAGGGAAACTTCTTGTAAAGTGTATTGAAAGACGCGTCACGTTAACGTAACGACACGTTTTGGCAAATTTCGGCACACGAGAGACGAGAGAGAAGAAAGATATAACGTAGAGAAACGGAGAGAGACAGCCAATGTCAATGACAGCCGACGAACGATTCACAAACCAAGGATTATAAACAAAGAGGATTGCCTATTATAGTCAAGCGCCGTTACCCTTGTGACGTCACTACAGATGCGCGTTTTTCTTTCATGTAGCCTTTCGTCTTTATACCCCGACTCATGCGCTATGTCTAAAAGTTGTATGAGGAAGGGAATAGTTTTTAGAAAGTTTCACTTCTTAACACGTGTACGATGCTATATATGATTTTTTTTATGTTTAAAAAAAGTTGGGAAAATTAGGAATGTCACCCCCCCCCCCCCCCCAAACCAGAGGCCTTCGCTACGTCCCTGTTGGTGTGCTTCGCAAGCTCGAAGCTGGAAACCGGTCTAGTCTGCAGGTGTTGGAGCTTTGGTTAAATACATGTGTTTTTCCAAAAAAATATTGTAAATATTTCTAGAAGAAATATTTCATATTTATTAATTGGTAATATTGGATCACTATCGGATTCATATAAAAAGTATACATTGTGCCAATCTGAAAAACAAATATTGGGTATATTTCTAAAAGCAATATTACATGTTTAATAATAAGCAATATTGGGACAATATTTTTCTCCAATATTGGATTTATATTTACAATATATATTGGGCAAAAAAAAAAATCTGTCGTTTCCATTCTTGGGCCAATATGTAAATATAATATTTTACCAATATTCTTGTGCTACTGGGGTAATTATAATTCAACTGACTAACAATTCTAGGCGAGCAGCGATATTGAAGTTGGATTGGTTGGGCTTCTTTTTCAGGGTGGTTGTCCCTTCTTTGGTTTTTGAACTTCGGTGCTAGTTTCTTATAGACAATAACAGCACACTCAGCAAGGATCATAGCTTAAATCAGAATGGTTCGGTTCCCAAACTGGATAGTCTTCTGATTTCACTTAATGTCAAACGGTTTTCTACGATCTCGTTAGCTATAGTTGGTGGAGATTGTCCAATTTTATGTTTTTCAAGTGTGTACCTGAATTTAAGGAATGCATTAATTCAGGGACTTTTGGAAGGTCGAGAAATAATATAGGTTTGGCATCGGATTTCAGTAGCTTCCTTTCGTTGATTATCAGTCTCGAAAAGATAGTGAGTTGGCAACTGATTGGTATATGGACTAGAAAGGTTTCAATAATTTTTCTGATTTCTTCTTGTTCAAAGCACTTGAGTTCGATAGGTACTTTAGCCGGAAGAACGAATACCTATTGATTGGATTTTGGATTTGTCCAAACGATTGATTATTGATTGGTTGTATCATTTTGACTTCGGTTGGCTTGCAAGTAGAAGTATCTTTTTCAGAGTTCAATAGCTTTATTTCACATGGGCTGCTGTCTTGAAGTTCTTCTTTTTTGCATAGGTGAAATTCAGGAAGGATTTCCTGGCATTTTTGGCCATAATGTGCGTAGTGCAATCCGATTTTTAAAAGATATTTATTTTGTGGAAGGACTACCCTAAACTTGACTCTTTTGGTCGGTCTATTTCTATTTTTTAGTTTTTTCTTTTGTTTTCTTTTATCATTTTCCTGATGGTCTTATTGATTTCTGTGTATTCTATCGATTTCCTTTTTCCTTCTTCGTTCAGTTTTTGCTTTCTTTCCATAAGTTTCTTTGTCTCTTCTGATATGCAATTTTCCTTCTTTTTATCTTTTTGTGCGATTTTTCTTTTATTATTTATTTGAATTAACTTGAGTATCAAAACTATATTTTGTTCCTTAGAGGACGTTTAATATTGTCCATATGAACTTTGCCTAGAGTATCTGTCGTTATGGTTTTCCGTGTAGGGTCAACGGTCTCTATTTGTATGGCTCGTTGAAATTTGTCTCCTAATTTTTGGCGTGTATATTTCTTTACGAATATCTTCTGTTCTGGTCTAAACAATGTTAGCTTATCACGATTTTCATTGATTTTGCCAATTATTTTATTTTTTGTATCCATAAGATGCTCGTTTATGTTGGAATACAAAAGTTTTGTTTTATTTTTGTGTTCGTTCACGTAATTAGAAGTGAATCTAACTTAAGATCGAATTGATCATTGGGACTAATGTGTCTTGTGATCATGTCAATGGGCTTGTGTTTGGTTACAGAGTGGATCGTATGATTGGTTGAGTGAATTCTTTCAATTACGCCGTTCGATTGAGGGTTTTTAAGAGAACAAAAATGTATTTTTACTTTGTGAAGTTGAAGTAACTCAGTAAGAACATTATTTTTGAACTCACTTCTATTGTCTGTGATTATTTTCGATGAAATACCATGATGTGAAAAGAAGGATATGATATTATCACATATTTCGGTAGCGGATGAAGATGTAGGGAATAAGCTTGGACATATTTAGAACAACTGTTTATTATGGTAAGAAATTTAACCTTGTCGAGAGTGTATGTATAGAGGTGGACGATGTCAAATGGTTTTGTTGCAGAAGGCGTGATGTTCATTTCCATATTTATTGGGTGGCGTTCGTATCGGCTACGTTGGAAAATTCCACATTTATTGATGAATGTGGAACAATAATATTTTTCCTTAATTCGCCGCTCTGTTTCTTCGATTCCTCGGTACGATTTGTCTTGCTCTCATGGTAATTTTTAATTATTCTTGCTATTTCTGTTTTGTTGACGATATCAATTAATTTTATCAGGCATCAGGCATCTTTTAAATTTAATTAAAGGCCATTTAAAGTTTTTTCTTGTTATTTTGCACAAAAGTTCGTAAGTATCTGGATTTTCGAAATAAATGGAATATAACTTTTCGGGTACGAGGTACCTACATTTTCTTTCAAAAATTGCATGTTTCTATCATCATTAAAATTGTTTTCGGATAGTTGGATTAGAAATCTTCTTTTCTTCTCGAATAATATCAAGCGTTTTGTTTTTGCAGGCCGTCTTCATTTGCTGTGGGTCAAGGTCGGGTTGTGTCATTGTTAAAATTAGGTCTAAAGTTGGTTGGTTCGTTGGTTTGGAAATTATATTCTTGTTGTTCGTAGATGAAGTGCCTTCTTGCTCAAGTTGCTTATTAAATTCTTCGATGTACGAGACTAAACTTATGAGATGTTGGTGGCGTCTTTTGTGTGTAGCTCAATGCGACTTAGCGCGTTAGCATTTGTGTAAAGTTTTCCTTTTTCATATGTTATTTGGTAGTCGAATTCTTGTAATTTTATTCGCCATCGTACTTTTTTTGGAGTGGGATCTTTATAATTAAACAGCCATTTATTGTTAGCATTTCCTTGCGAGTGCGCATATCCGTAAAAAAAAAAAAAAAAAAAAAAAAAAAAAAAGCTAAATTAGGTATACTAGGCAACCTCTCATCTCATTCCAAGTGTATTATTTCAGGAATCAAGCCGTTCGCATGTCCTCACGAGGGTTGCGAAGCCCGTTACACCATCAGACCTGATCTTAAGGATCACATTTGTAAAGTCCACACTAGGGAGAGGCGTTTTAGGTGTAACGTATGCAATAAACATTTTTTGACTGGTTCTGTTTATTATCAACATCGAATGATTCACACTAATGATAGACGACATGCATGTGATGTAAGTATATTTTTCTGCGATTGCTTAGAAAATAGACTGATGTATCCACATTTTCACACAAGGGTATATTCAGGCGGTGTCAGCAGCTAAGCTCAGCCACTCAGCAGGGACTTTATTCTCGAAACCGAGGAGCAGCGCTCTCATGAGGCCGATTACTCTGTTATTGTCAGTGTTATGGAAATATGAATACGGACGACGAAAACAGAACCCTCGTTCCCATGAGAACGCTGCTCCCCTATTTCAAGAATAAAGTCCCTGCTGAGTGGCCGAACTTACCCGCTGGCACCGCCTGAATGTACCCAATCAATATATTCACTTGTGACAAATTATGTGGTATGAATGACAGTGGTTTAAAAACAATTTAATTTAATTTTAGGTGTGCGATAGAAAATTCCTCAGATCTAGCGCTCTAAGACAACACTACCGTATCCATACCAATGAAAAACCATATAAATGCGCATACAATAATTGCGGCAAAAGTTTTAGGCAGAAAGGTGACAGAAACGCGCATTTGCGTACGCAGCATCTAAATGTTCATAATGACCATAACAGATCTCCGAGAATGTTACTACCAAAGAATATATGATGGAAAGCTACATCAAATTCGGAAAAGTAGTACTTATTAGAAAATTTATGAAATATGTATTTTTTTTTTATGATTTTGAATTTAAACAGTTGTTTCAGTGTAAAAATTAAGGAATCGGTTCTCAACCTGTGGGGACGGCTTATTACTAGGTATTGTAAGAAAATATGTGACTATTTATGCTATTTATTATTTAAGTAAGTATCACTAATTTGATAAACATTTAATTGGGACTTCAAAAACGTTATAAAGGCAGACGGGTTCGCATACTGAAAATTGGTATGTATATTTCGTTTGACAAATGCAGATTTAATAAGGACTAAGGATCAAAGAGCAATTTTTCATTAACTGCAATATTTTAAATTTCAAATTGTTTAATTTTTAGTTTTAATTTATATTATTATGTTCATATGTACCATTGCGATCAAATAAAAGTTGTACAAAAAGTATTAGCTCCCAATGTAACATACAAAAATTTGACAGTGAATAACCAAAATAATCACGAAATAAGTTGGGCTCAGGCAATGACATATTCTAGGCTAAAAACGGATGAAAAATGCCAAAATAATATTCTTTTTTGTTATAAATTAAATTATTATATAATAGACCAGAAGATTTTGGGTATTTTTATTGTTCTACTTTTTTTTAATCGCAATGGAAGATATTATTTTTCAGATTTGAATGTGCAAACTTGCAAAAAAACCACACTTGAATCACATTACATTCTGATAAGTAGATAAAGTATGAAGGATTAGCATTAATTGTAGATATTTAATAAGTAGGTGTGAAGCATATGCAAAAAAAAATTATGTATACTTCATGCAGTTTATGTGTTATAGCAAAAATTGTGCAACTGTTAGCACAGTTTTAGAGTACGTTCCATGTTGTTATGTTTTCATAGTTTAAACTTCTTGTTTTAATTATTAAGTTTTAAGAGTTTGTTATCCAAGTTATCAGTTTTATAGACATTTGATGAGTATATTGAAGGTATGAAACTAAAAAAATTGTTCAAATTAAACGGAAATAATTGGCAACGAATTTGCTTCTTTGAGAAAATTTTCCCTCTTTACATCCAGTGAATGTTGATATAAATATAAAGTTTAAAAGTTTTCGTGTTTTATAATATAATTAATAAAGATTTTTTACCATTTTGTCCCCAATTTATTTTCTAGCTGAACTA